TCCCTGCAAAAGTTCCACAGCAGCCTGCACTCCAAACCCCTCATGCTCTGATCCACCCCAGAGCCCACACTCCCAAGGGGAGCCCTAACTCCCCCACACCACAATCCTCTACCCCAATCCATAGCCCTTCAGCCCCATCCCCACCCCACACCCACAGTCCCTTACTCTCTAATCACCCCCCCCCAATTATCTGCTCCAGTCCTCCTGGCCTCACCCCATAGCCTGCACCACAGCTGGAGCCCTTGTCTCTGCCCCCCACACCCTGTACCACAATCCTCTGCCCCAATTCTGAGTTCCTCATCCCTTGCCCTCTGTCCCATCCCTGAGCCCCTCCCACACACTGAACCCCTTAGCCCCACCCCCACCACATGAATTTTGTTATGTGCACCAGTATGGAAGTGATGTATCACACATAAGGTTGCCAACCCTCCCGGATTAGCCTGGAGCCTTCTGGAATTGTCATAAGTCTCCCAGTGACGATTGAAAGCAATCCTAGAGATTTTAATAGGATATTTTAAGAGAATGGCATTATGTCATGTTGGCAGTGGGGGGAAAAATCTCCCTGAATAGTTTCAGTCAGAGTTGGCAACCCTAATCACATTTCACCTCCATATTGATGCATGTAACAAAATTCATTCTAAATGTGTGTCGGAAAAATTAGAGGGAGCACAACCTTCAGCACTTTTCCCACCCTCCGAGTTCCTCCCTCTACCATGTATCAGCTGTTCTGCGCCATGTAGTAGGTGCTGTTGAGGCAGGGAAGAAACAGGGGCAGGAAGAGGTGGAAAGGGGATGGGGACTCGGAGGAAGAGCAGTGGTCATGCAGCCCCTGGCAATTTGGTAAGTCAGTGCCTATACACCTCACAAAACAGCCAGGAGCACGAAGGTGATGATGCTACCCACCTTATAACTTTTAGTCTAGTAGTTAGAGTGCTCACCTGGGATGTAGGAGAGAATCAGCCTTTCCTGTTTTGCATTCCTGGTGTACTGCACATAAATACTGCCATAATGAAAAGAGCTATGTAGCTCAAAAGCTTCTCTCTTTCACCAACAGGTGTTGGTCTCTTAAAAGATATTACCTCATCTCTCTTACAAATACTTAGATAATCATTGGACCAGAGAGAGAGCTCATCCTTTTACTATTCCTACAGAGCCAGAGCAAGAGTGAGGATTTCACCCATTGTCATTATTATATTCTTTCCCCTAAAATCCCATTTTACAGACCTTTTATGTTCTTCACTGTCCCATCACTCTTTCTGCTGCTGTACCACTAGCTATAATCTGAGCCCTAGATAAGCCATTACTTTCCCAATCCATTTCCATAATTTAAAAATGTATTTTTGGGAACAAAGTGTGGAAGTGTGACATTTTTGGCAAAGAAAATGTGGCAGGGACAGCTAAGGAATCTGGCCCTGACCCAAAACTGGGATTGACTTAAGTGCCTTTAACCAGGCCATATTTGGGGATGTGCGAGGTCTTTGCAACGGCACTGCAATTGGTTGAAGATGATTCAACAAGTCAGTACTTTATTAAATTTGTTCCCAGTTCTGCAGAAGCCAGAATGTACCTCAGTGCGTAGTAAAACACAGTGAGGAATCCTGTGGCACCTTAAAGACTAACAGATTTATTTAAGCATAAGCTTCTATGGGGAGGAGGGGCGGGGGAAATCTGACAGTAGGTTTTACCTACAAAAGCTTATGCCCAAATAAATCTGTTAATCTTTAAGATACCACAGGACTCCTTGTTGTTTTAAGCATAGGCTAACATGGCTACCCCTGTGATTACTGTTTATTTTTAGCAAAAATGACCATTCTTTATCTGAACTCTGATTCTTCACTCTTTTCCATCAAGCCTTAGGAACTACATTGAGATTGCTGCATAAAGGATTATAGGATTGGTCCCGGTTTTGTACACAAAAGTTGAACTTGACTCCAGCTCACATCCCCATAATTTTGTCATGTTAGCATCATTCTAATTCAATGTATTGCCCATCCACACATAGTTTGTTTGCTTAAATGTTTGAATCTGTTTTTGAGTCAAGACACAGCAGCATTGTGCTGCAAGGTTACAATAGAAGGTAGTGTTAAAAACTTTGGGGTAAGTATGAACTCTGTGCTTGAAAAAGCCAAGGGGATACAGAGTCTTTTCCTCAAGGACTACAGAACCTACAGCCTCAGAACCTATTGAATTAACGTGCATACTTCCAAAATTAAAATTGGACATGCACTAAGTATTTGAAGGATGGGAATTTTAGACAATGGCTGAATACAAAAATGCACTAGGAGACACAAAGGATAGTGCTACTTGAAGTCATGCACCTGCTGCAATTGAAATCAATGGCAGAACACCTTCTGACTTTACTGGGAGCAGGCCCATAAGCCTTTCAGAGTGCTGTTTTATTTCTTCTTTGTGAACAAGAAATGTCACGTTCTTCCCAGATACTGTACTCAGAATCTGAATTTTGGTCACCATACAAATGGAAATGGTCCAAGGAAGTAATGAGAGAGAGATGCCAAACCAAAGTCAGTGTAATA